AGCGCTAGGGCTTCTCCTTCGACTGGGGCATAGCGAGCCTCCGCCTCAGTGGTAAAGCGGCTCCCAGCAAAGATCAGCTTCCAATGTCCGGGTCCGCAGTGAGGGGCATCCTCTAGGCTGCAGCTGCAGTGCTTCTGTTGCAGGACGAACCCGATGCCCGTTTTGCTCCAGTCAGTGGAGAGGCAAGTTGGACGGTTCACTTCGAATGCCCTGACTCCGTCTTCCACATGTTGTGTGATGACGTTTTTCGACTGGTTGAACAACAGGTCCAGGGTGTCGTCCCAGTAGAACTTGTTGCCTTCTTTCGTTTTTAGGAGCTCCCTGAATGGCGCCATTACTTTTGACTGTGCGAAGGCGTATGAGACCTGGTTCACTAGCCCGAACCAGCTGCGGACCCCGGTTATATCGGTCGGCGTCGGGAAGTCTCGGATGGCATTCAGCAGCTGCGCAGTCGGCCTGTAGCCGCTTGGGGTGACCGTAAAGCCCGCGAAGTCGACAGTGTCTGCCCCGAAAATGAACTTGGACGGGTTGAACACGACACCATTTTTTCCGCACAGAGTTATGTAGTTCATTGTATGCCAGAATGATTTTTCCAGCGTTTGATCCCACAACAAAGAGTCATCCACACATTTCTTCAGGCGCTCGACTCCCTCCGTAATATCATCCATGCGACGAGTGTAGCCGTCTCCAGACGCGTGAAAGCCTTGTGGTGCGCGTTTATAGCGATATCTCCCGAACTCCGTAATAAATGTCGTAGCATCTCGGGCTGCTTCGGCCAGTGGAAGGCTGTGATATCCGTTCCACGCATCCAGAACAGTTTTCTTCATCCCGGTGGGTATGTCCGCCACGAGGTTAAATGGCGTCGGTGTGTGGTGTGTTTCACGGAGCGTGGCTTTGTTGACGTTGGTCAGATCCACCGTTCGACGTGGAGAGCCGTCCTTCTTCACAGTCACCACCATCCGAGAGCACCACCGAGTTGGAGTTCCTTGTGGCACGGGCTCGATGATGCCGAGGCTCACGTCTTGATCCAGGTCAGCTTTGACTCGTGCCTTCCAGTGGAATGGCACCGGAATGGGCGTGTGGACGGCCTGCGGCGTCACATCCGGAAGGAAGTGTATGTCGATGGGTGAGCCGGACATCTCTTGGAGCGGTTGGTGCTCGCACGTGTTAAATGCACTGGCGGCGAAGTGGTTCCTTATCCACTGCTCCAGCTTCTCTCGGTTATCCTCTGTGGCTGGGAATGGAATGGTTTTCGGCGGCTCCGGCACCGCTGACCGTTTCGGACAGCCACAGGGTGCACAGCCCTCCGGCGGCTGAGACGCGCTGGTGGCGGCGCCTGAGGAAGCCGCTGGTGCGGGGAAACAGCCGGACACTGCTCCGAGGTCTCTCAGTGCCCGTTCAGACAGGTACAGGCCACGAGTATTCCGTGAAATGTACACGACCTGTCTGGTGACGCGACCATTTGCTTCGATCCGCAGGAGGAGAGAGCCCATCACGTCCAAACTTGTGCCCGTCACGCCGTGTATCCGATGCGATGTCTTTAGTAGGAACCTCGCTGGACACTGGAGGAGCTCCAGTAGCTCCGTGCCACCGGAACAGGTCATGGCCCCCGTATCGGCGCACCCCACGGTTTTCGCTCCATTTATGACTCGGGCGCGCTCTCTGCTAGTGAGGTGCTTGCCGAGCTTGGCATGAGCGTCCTGTATGACAGTCACAGCTACTGTCAACTCAGGATGACGCTTCGGCGCGCTAGGAACGAACTGGTCGCCTTCCCATTCCATATGTGGCACTGTCGTTTGCTTAACACCGTTCTGAGGTGTAAAATGAGAGTCCTCTGTTGCTGATACCGTACTGGGCGTCGCGGAATCGCTCATATGGGCCTGCGTAGAGAGTTCACTCGGTTCACCGCCGAAAGTGTCCGCGACTGATCCACTGCTTACTTGGGACTGTTGTTTGTTTCGGCAAGCCCGCTCGAAATGATTCAGCTTGTGGCAGTATCCACACGCCTTGCCTTTTGCAGGACAGTTTATGTCCTGGAATCGGGCATTGGAGACCATATGCCAATCCCCACACCAGTTACAGAGGGCATTCTTGCCCCTTGGTCTGCTTGAACCGGCGTGTGGGAGAGACTTCGGATGCCTTTGTTGCCGGTAGGTCGAACGATGGGCTGCTGTGACGTCGGGCTGGAGTTGTGGTGCGTCACTGATGAGCGGCGTGTCCCGGGACGCGCCGTTCTGCAGAGTTTTCTCACTGTTTTCAGCAGTCTGCATTGCCTGCAGACGTCTATATGTAGTTTCGAAGTCCGGGCACTGATCAGCCGCAGTGAGAATTCTGTTTTGGTGCTCGGTGCTGTGCAAGCCGACGATTAGCTGCGTTTGCAGCACATCATCCTCATAGCTGAGTGGACCGGGTTCCCTGCTGTCGGCCAGAGGTCGATGGGCTGTGACATTAAAGTCACAAAGAGCCGCCTTAGCTCTCAGCCTCGCGACATACTGTGCCAGATCCTCGCCTTCTCCCTGACGCATAGAGTGGAATTGGCGCCGATGGACGGCTGTGTGAAGACCCCGGACGGCGACCGATTTGATTTCCTGCAGCAGGTCGTCTTCTGCGATAGTAGACAAACTTGTCCCCCGAAGGTTAAACAGCCGTCGCTCCAGTTCAGGGCTACAGGCGGACAGTAACTGATCCACTGCTGCTGTCGATGTGAGCCTTGTAGCGGTCTTGTAACGCCCCCATTGGAAGATAAACAACCTCCAGTCCTCTTCGGATGCGTCCAGTCCAATGGTTGGACGTGGTGCTCTGGGAGCCTGAGGTTCTCGAGAAGCTAACAAATTATTAAACTGCTCTTGTGTAAGCGTGATAGTTGCTGTCCTATCTGACCGCGCCATGTTGGGTATAATGTATAAACACCAAGTTCCAGCCAAGACTAACTTTATTAAGTCTGAATTCTTAACTGGCATATTTTGTGGCTCGTGATACCGCGCGCGTGACCTGTCATTTAAGAACCCTTCAGTATAAACACAAATTAAAGCAAATTGTTCATGCCAATTGACACGCTGTTAACCCGCGCGCTGCTGGGGTGTGTGTTTGAACACCCTCATTGTGGTTTTTCGCGAATATCTCAAAAACGGCGGCGCGGAGCGCCACCGTTTCTTGGTACACCTTATCATGCATCAACTCTACACATGTTGTGAAAATTTCAGACCAAGGTCATTCAAGGTCAGGTCACCAGGTCACTTGAAGTGACCTCACCTCATAAAATGTTTCAATGTCTGCCATAGCTACACCGAGTGACGGATCGCTTTGAAACTTTTAGCGATTGATAAGGGGAACAGTATCTATAAAAATTATATCTCGGAATTTTTATATCGGTGACCTAAGGTCAGGTCAATTTTGCGACCTCCCCATTATAAATCAATGGGGGAAAATTGAAATGCGCCTATTTTGGACGACAGACATTATAAACACTCCCAAGCACTGAATTACAAGTGGTTTAGACACACTGAACATGAAAATGGTGTCCGTGACCCCTATTTATGCCCCTGAGGTCATCTCAGGTCACGAATGGTGTCTAACAGTTTTTCGCAAATAACTTTTGATAGAGGCATGCTAGAGCGGTGAAAACGCCTTAGTTGTGTTCAGCTCGACGATACGGATCGACTGATACGCAACATTACCCTTTCCGGTAAGGTCATGACCTTGACCTGAGGTCAAATTTTCAAGTTGACCTTTCAAGGTCAAATTATAGTTCATTCGATACGTCTTGACGACAGGAACACGATGCCGGTAAAAGTAAGCTCGTACAAGCCTTGGGTCAAAAGGTATTGCAGAAAAACTGTTTCCGAAAATATCGGCTATTTTTGCAGTTTTTGCCCCCTGCAGGCAAAACCGTTGACGTTAGGTCAAATCTCAGAACATTACTCAGAAAGGTCTGTAAACGGGCTATCGAATGCGCTTTTCCGCGGCGCTGTAGCTCTATTGGTTCCCGAGTTATGCGTTGGCTTCCTAGAAATTGTCGACATTCGATCTGAAAATCGGCGAAATTTTGCCTTCAATGACCTCTGGTGACCTGACCTTTGACCTGACCAAAAAAGTGACTGAAGTGATTTCGTCATTAATTATTTTTGGCTCTCTTTCGAACGCCGCCTTCTGCATATCGCTACGTGGCCCAGGAGCCGAGTTTGAAGGGGGGTGTTCAAACACCCCCCCCCCCCCGGAGCAGGGCGTGGAAATCCAGGACCCCCAGCCGGGCGCGGGTTAAAGGGACTATCCCACCTTCTAAAATGTTGTTAAAACCAGTTAAATTGTGCCCGACTTTATAGATTGGATGACCAGGAACACGGTTCTGGCATTTATTTTTCATTAAACATCTTAGGCTTCCCATTTTCCAAACACAAACTTTCAAATATGTGACGTCACAGCCCAAAATTACCTCCTTCCCCAGGCCACATTACTGTCACAAAGCTGATTCTTTTTACTCTGTAGGCACCACAACAAAGTTCAGACCAAGTTTTAAGCGATTTTTCAACGAACAAACCCATTTAAATCAGAATGACTAAACGAGGTGACGTCACACTAACGGTCGCTCCATGTTGAAGATAGGGCCTTGTACAAGGCCCATTTTCAAATGAAGGGAACGAATTTCTTCAACACCAAGAGGCCGCGGGGGTTCCAACCTTACCTAGATAGATAGTGGTTTCTGAACCTCGCCGCAAACTTGGCTATCTCAACTCAAACCCCATGTTAAAAGTGGGATAGTCCCTTTAATACAACTAAACGAATAAATGATAATAATTGAATAAATAAATAATAGATAAACACCTGTCACATCTTTACTTTACTGTGCAAAATTCGCCTTAGAGTTAATCCCGAATCCACAACACTCTACATACTACATACAGTGTACTTACAATGCTGCTTGCCAATTTAGTGGCGAAACACCAGAGCAAGACGAGAGAAAATCGCGCTGCGCCCAGTCAGTGAACCGTGGCGATACTTACCGAGGCACGGCAGGATGAAAGACATGGCATAGAGCAGCGACACTCTGGCCACGTGCATCTCCACGTGCAGCTCGTGCCACACGGAGCCGGGACAGCAGTTGTAGGTGGTGTTCACCAGCGAGCCGTCGACCGAGGTGACGCGCCAGTGCGAGTCCGTCTTGACCATGTCGTTACTGAGCACCAGTTTCTGAGGCAAGGGGGCACCGGCGGGCTGGGTATATCGGTGCACCGGATAGGACTCGGTGCAGTGGAATCTCAACCGAACAGGGCATCAGCGGGATAAGACATCAGCACTTCGGGGCAGGGACGTGCGTAATGAAGTATCAGTTAAAAGTGGATAGCTCTATGGGCTTGATATCAGAACGACAGTGTACCCTACACACAGAAAAATATTGACACCGTTAGCGGTGTAATTGCACAGTACATATCTGAGCACTTGAGGAAAGTTAATTTAGTCCCTTCCCCGCTTAAATTACTCGCGCTTCTAAATGAACACCAGGAAGAAGGTAATAGAACACTGTTAGGAGGGTTGGGTGTTTTACTACATGTAGCAAAACACCCAACCCTCCTAACAGTGTTCTATTACCTCATTCCTGGTGTTCATTTAGAAGCGCGAGTAATTTAAAGGAAGGGTGCCACCTTCCGAAATTTTTGTTCTATGAATCTATTTTACTTATTTGAATTTTTAGACGTGGTTAGCGCGTCCACAATATACAAAAAACCGAAACATTGCATTTAATACATTGGCCAAAAAAAAGATCGTTGTTTATATCACCACTACAACTCAAGGTCGTTTAATGTGGCAGCTAGGACGGCTGGCATATCCTGTTGTCATGGCAACATATCATTCTGCCATTTGCATTGATGGCGCAACTGAGACAAAAAGATGAACAAATAAAAAGGAAGAAGATTACATGATTTGAACTAAGTTGTAGGTAACCAAGTAGGTAACTGTTGGCCATATTTGCCAACATTAAAGAACATCAAATAAGTCGAGTAAAGGTTTTTCCTTTACAATGCTTAAGAGATCTATGGAACCCTTCACCCTTCATGCAACTTACTAGAAAAACTTCCCAATTAAAATTTTAAAACTTAAGTGTATACCATAAAGAAAAAATATACCCTTTCAAAATGATAAAACATGCTTCAAAAGTATAACTTTTATACATACCTTTGCTGATTTCATGTTTTATAAAATACCCTTAACACGACGAAGAAATAGTGCTGAAGATTTTTGCCTGCCCGAATGCTGGCAGCAAAACTCGCAAATGATAACTTCACGTGCGGATTCAATGCTGACCGTCTCGAGCATAGGTAAGTGAAGCCGGTTTTTAGGTTCATGTGAGGCTAATCTTGTAAAAACTGCGTTGTGTCCAAAAGGTGGCACCCTTCCTTTAAGCGGGGAAGGGACTAAAATAACTTTCCTCAAGTGCTAAAATATGTACTGTGCAATTACACCGCTAACGGTGTTAATATTTTTCTGTGTGTAGGGTGGCGTCAGTACAACATGACAGCCAAGGGAATGGACATCAGTGCGACAGTGATGGATCAGCACAGCAGGTCACCTGGTGGATGGGAGATCAGTACAACAGGGCGCCTGATAGATGGGAGATCAGTACAACCTATAGCGACCAAAGAGGCAGGATTAGATATTAGATGCTAGTACCAACAGCATCAGTTACATAACATCCAGAGAATAAGAGACCTACGACTTACAAGTTTCCTATTATCGCAATCTACGAGCAAAGTAGATGCGTTCCTAATATCTATGGCGACTTGCATTAGTAATTATACGCATATAGTTAATGCCATAGATAACATGAATCAGGTTATCATTTTAACGATTTAACATCTTAAAAAGATGTTAAATTTAACGTAATTTAACGTAAATAACGTAATTTAACGTCTTTAACGTCTTTTAACGATTCATGTTATCTATGTTAATACCAATCCAAGTTCACCGTAAGTTCAATAACGCTATTTACCAGTATAACGCCTTTTGGGGCGACTAACGGAGCGAGCGAGAGGGTGGGCCTTGCACGTGCGAAATTGCGAGGGGGTATCTCCAACTGACTTGTGCACGGCACCCTACTAACTGGTCTCTAGCGACGTGCCAAATTTGGGCACAATCGGCCCAGCCGTTCTCGAGATCTGGAAGCGGCACCCTGCACGTGCGCACGTGCAAAATGGGTCCCAACTAACTTGGGCACGGCACCCTACTAACCGGTCCCTAACTGTGTACTAAATTTCAGCGCAATCGGTCGAGCCGTTCTCGAGATCTGGAAACGACCCCTGCACGTGCGCACGTGCAGCAGCACCCCAACTCTGGCACATGGATATGCAGTGCCTAGTGGGTGCCTACCTACATGCCAACTTTCAGCGCAATCGGCCAAGTAGTTACCGAGATATTGCAACAATTACAAAACGGACACCTCTTCGTTTTGCACGTGGCACGTGCATAAGGGGTCACCCACATGCATCGGGAATAGTCCAATACTTGGTAGAAGGAATGAAGCTACCCTACAAAAATTACCGCGTGTAAATCGGTCAAGTGGTTGCTGAGATATGAGCCTCGCAGAAGCGTGACCACGGCCGGCCGGCCGGCCGGCCGGCCGCTCATACTCAGAAATTTCCGTTAATCTAAGGAAAGACTACGCTCGCTTCGCTCGCTCCGTAATCAGGACCTAACAGCCCAGTTTGAAACGGTTGGAATGGAATTGAAGCAATGTTTACACCGATGTCATCTAATTTCAAATGGCCGCAAAACTTTGTCAAGGCTTCTTGTGGCTGTTCTTAGAAACACGATGTATAAGCCTTTGCTGTGAATTGAAAGCCAAATCCAAGCATCACTAAAAAAAGACCGGGCCTGAAAGTCATCTGCTGATCAAACAACAAGTTCGATCAAAAGATATCGAGACAGACAACTTGTTTTTGCCGCTTCTCCTTAACTAGCAGGCAGTATTCCGATTTCCGATACCGCGCCACGCTTTTCCGACTTACCCCGTCGTGGGTAGCCGGTATAACTTCGTGGGTGTCTCTGTCCAGCGACCACGAGGAGAGTATCACGGTGCACTTCTGCTGGTCGTACGGCCAGTTGGCCATCTCCTTCTGACAGCGCACGCGAAAGGTGGACGGTGTCACCCACACCACCAGGCCGGTGCTGTTGACCGGCACCGGCGCGTGCATGTAGATCGGCTCCAGGTGGGTCACACTACGGCAGAGGCGGCGAGCAGGGGTCAGCAGGGGTCAGCAGGGCGGTCAGCAGGGGTCAGCAGGGGTCAGCAGGGCGTCAGGACGCTCCGGCCACCGGCGCGTCAGCTGCAAACGGTCGCTCTGGCCCGGGTCCAAGTCATATTTAACCCGCGAATTGCTGGGGTGGGGGCGTTAAACGCCCCCACTTTTTTCGCCGGGCCATAGCAAAAAATAGCAAAAACGGCGCGCCGCAGGCGCGCCAAATTTCGGATACCTGTAGGGAATTGATTGAAGTTTATTGTGACAAAGATTCAAAAAAAAATCGGTCGGAAAATTTTTGAGGTATCGAGGTTTTAGTGACGTCATGATTTCTGAGTTTTCGACCAACAACGGCATATGTTCAAAAAATCATATAAAATCACAGAATAGACATACAGACATGCCGTAACCGCCATTAGACTGCCAATACCATGAACAATCAAATGGCTATCTTCGATTATTGATTATCGTTCGACATTTTCCAAAATCTTGAACTGAATCTAGACAATTTCTCGTGACTACTTCATGACCATTATATACATGAATTTCTTAAATTGAACTTTTTTAGCCAAACACGTACACATATGATAAAATGAATGTCATCATCGTGTTCTACGCCTCAAATTACCCATAAAACATGTGTCACAGGCTGCGAATATCAGTTTTGATTTTCGGGGATATGTGCCTACCCGGTTGACCTGACCTTGACCCTGACCTATGCTTGACTGACCCCTACATGGAGTTGACACTCTTGTAGGCCTTATATGATGGATTGTGCACCGTTTTGACAGAGTTTATGACGAGAGGCGCCCATTGCGAAGTCCTGAAGTCCATGCTACTGAAAGGCCGATTTCAGGTGTTTGACCTGACCTTGACCCGACCTGTGACCTCAAAATTCAACTTTAAAGTACTCATCTGAAGCGTCTCGTCGCGTTCTTTCGTTTGCCGCCTCGTGCGTTTCGCTGCGCCTATTGGTTCTCGAGTTATCGGCTGGGGGCGTTTAACGCCCCCCCCCCCCCCAGCAAACGGTGGGTGGCGAAATACCCCAGCAACTGCCGGGTTAAGAGTAAGAAAAAGTTTTTTTGGACATACTCGTAGTATTCATCACAGCACAGGAGTGATGTGATTAGAATTGAACTACGTCTTTGTGGAAATAATACTGAAAATGCCTATCTAAGTTGACACAAGAGCATCTGTTTGCCTTTCAGTCCAATGTGTGCGGTCATCTGTCAGGTCTCACCCGTTCATGAGATAGATGTCGGGTAGCCATATCTGTGAGCTGTACATGAGAACCACTCTGGTGTTTCCGTAGTCACTTGGCTGCCAAGTGAGTCGACGATCCATCCAAACCTGTGAGAAAAACAAAGAGTCAAAATCTACGTTGGAGATATGTCCTGGATATCAACACAGAAAGGACGTGTGACACACCCAACAGTCACTGTTCATGTCGTTATGATTTATGGTAGTACCAGGGCTGATGGAAGGAGTCACGAAGCTGTGTGTATAGCTCTATGATATAGCGTTGCTCGGGACCAGGGGCAGATGTGGTTCTACTCGTTTGACAGAACAGTCCTGATGACCTAGGGAACATGTGGATCTATGACAGAGCAGGGCTGGGGACAGTCTCTGCCACTCGGCAGAGCTCTCAGCCAGCCGATGTGAGTTCACTGAGCCGGTCGGCGGCGCGATGGAGGCTCAGTGGGGCTCAGTGAGCCGGTCGGCGGCGCGATGGGGGCTCAGTGAGACGGTCGGCAGAACGATGTGAGCTCAGTAAGCCGGTCGGCGGGGCGCTCTGGGCTCAGTGAGCCGGTCGGCGGGGTGCTCTGGGCTCAGTGACGGCAGAGCGATGGGGGCTCGGTGAGCCGGTCGGCGGGGCGCTCTGGGCTCAATGAGCCAGCCGGACCGGCCACGGTTCCTGCCCAGCCGGCCGCGCGGAACAGAAAAGTCACCGGACCGTGAAACACACTCCGCCGTCCGGCCACGGAGGACGACACATATTTAATGCTCGTAAGATACAAATGTATTTCGTTGAAAGTAGAAAGCTGTTAAATGCCTATGAGAAATCGACAACAAGCTTCATGTGAAATGAATAAAAAAGGTAACTGTGCTTGGCGGGTTTATTGACCTAATCTAGCAACGAAGTTAAAATCTATAGACCATCGTTTCATTTTTATCCAAGAATTATTCTTGGAAATGCTGTGGTGTATGGGTCCGTGAGGTCGACATGGCTTTACATGCGGAGAGTAAAAGCAGTCCCGCGGATCGCATCAGGTGGTCCCCATTCTCGGTCGCCGTTGTTCCCCGACGTCCTGCTACTCACCATAACAGTCCAGGCGTTGATGGTTGCGGTCAGCTGATATTCGTCCTAGGAAACACAAACGGGGCCGACGTGAAAGGAATGTCCAGTAACGCCCAGATATAATTTAAGAACGAAAAGACCGCTTATATTCGTGGCAAATTCTCACAGAACCAGCCCGATCGGCTGCAGAACTTAGGGTCATCCACTGGGGCGCTGGGAGTGTATCTTATAAAGTGCTTGTGTGTGCCTATGCTTATGAGTTACAAAGCTTCAACGATAGAACTGGTGTAGGGCGGGCATTTGATTTCACGCTGGCTGGTCTCTGCATTCGTGTGATGAATGAACGGGCTGAGTTTGCTGGGTGAAATTTAACGAGATAATGAACAATGAACATTTTGGTGGGTATTGTGCCAAATTTTAGGCTTGCGAAAAAGCGTCTTTTAACCAATTTCTCAGGTGACATGTTTCGTCAAAGTTTAGCCTGATTGACATTTGCCATTACTGACGAGTTCCATTGAATTGGATTGCATTTAACTGCCACTCGCATTGCATTTAACACTACCACTCGTCAAATTCAATCCATGCTCCCGCGCGGGGCTGGGGGGGTAAATTTTACCCCCCCCCCTCGCGAATTTTTGCGATATCTCAAAAACGGCGGCGCGCAGCGCCGCCAAACTTTCAGTACCTTTTCTTACATCAATTTGACACGTTCCCTGAAAATTTGAGCGAAATCCGTCGGAAAATTTTTGAGAAATTGACGTTTTAGTGACGTCATGTTCGCGATTTTTGCCTCAAAAACGGCAAAAGTTCAAACGCCGCTAACATCTTCATTTTTAAAGGAATCAAGACGTAACAAAAAAGGTTATACGTAATTTTACTTTGTCTATCAAATGGCTATCTCGGTTTTTTGAAAATTTTGGATTTTGGCCTAAATTTTTTCAAAAAACTGACTTTTTTTGGGAAAATCATTATAAAATCCAAAATTTTAAGTCTATCGAAAAAACCGGAATATATATCAGAGAAGTGGTCTATGTGCACCTACATACCAAATTTTAGAAGAATCGGTTCAAAAATGTGGGAGTTATTCAAAATTTTATGACGTCACGACACACAAAATTTTTGAAAAATGACTTTTTTGGAAGTTCTAGACCTCGTACGGAAACAAAAATAGCACCATTCGATTCGCCGTGAAAAACTGCATCAGATAGACACCTTTTTAGGCCTTAACAACCAACTTCAAAATTTGACCTCACTTGACCTGACCTTGACCTGACCTCGACCTGAAATTCATCCAGAGGTGGTCCATATCACTTATTGAGTGTGCCTATTGAATTCTATGAGTAAAATGACCCATAAAACACGTGTCGCACATGCCCTTTTCTATATTTTGTTTTTTGGTGACCTGACCTGACCTGACCTGACCTTGACCTTGACCTCTGAATGATATTGTATGCAACGAATATTGTCTTGGTAGCCTAAGAACACGTTTTGGGCGATCAGTCTCAGTCCATGACTCCATTCTTCGGCAACTACGGTGCAAGGCCGATACTGTAGAAACTTGCAATTTGTACCCTTGACCTGACCTTGACCTTGACCTCAAACTTTAAATTAAGTACATGTTTTTAGTAGTTCGTGATGAGAGCTTTCGATTGGCGTTTGAATTTTCCAAATCGGACCATTAGTTCGGGAGATAACAGGGGGGGGGGGTAAAATTTACCCCCCCCCCCCAGCCCCGCGCGTTCGGCTGGAGACCCCAGCCCCGCGCGGGTTAAATTGCATGTCGTTACCTTGAATGTTGAAACTATTACAATGATACAGATTACGGAGCACTCCAAAAACGTCTGTTTTTCAGCATCTCCCGTTTCGTAGTTGACCTCGACCGTCCATTACGTTGCTGTTCCATATAAACACTGTGACATTTGATGTGACAGAAGCACCAGCTCCCAGGGATGACAAGACCTGGCAGACGACCGTCGAGTACTTAGCTTACAATTTGAAAGCTGCGCATCATGAGCGTGATGAAGGTGGCCGTGGGACCCTGTCGATTGTTGGGTGGCCGGGTCGTGACGTCATAGTGCCGATCGCGCAGAATGGCCTTCTTGATAGCGGCTTCATTGTCGTCTGAAACGGCAGGCAATGAATGAACGTTTAGCAAGCTATCACATTGAAAGTTATCGCTTTACTTGAATTAACCCTCGCCCCGTCGGGGGGTGCAATTTGCCCCCCCCCCTGTAGTTTTTTTCCTGAATAGCAAGAATACTGTTCGGCGCCAAATTTTCAGTACCTTCCCGGGAATCAATTTGACACCTTCACACAAAATTTCAAGTCTAAGAATTGAAATTTTACACCACAGCATTTCTCAATAACTTCTGGCCTAAGGAGACCTTAGGCCAGAAGTTATTGAGGTCAACCTGAGGTCATGTTCAAGCAAAAATGAGCAAAAAACGTGGAATCTTGAAACGCCCACAAACGCTACAGTTACCAAGCAATGTCAAAGTTTTTATGGTCATGTAGCCAAAAGGCGGCGCTACAAAATTGTTATCTCGGATTTTCTTAAGTATATGGGATTTTGACTCCCAAAAATTCAAAAACTTGATTTTATTAGAAAAACGCGAAAAAAATCCCAATTTTTCCGAATTTCGCAAAAACCGGAATAAATGTGATAGTCCCTGCGCTCTTCTATATACATACCAAATTTTAGATTAATACCTCTTTTTTTGGCCAAGTTATAGCGAAAAAAAAAACTGTTCAAAATTGATGACGTCAAATTTTTAACTCAATTTTTAGCAATTCTAGACCACGTAACGCCAAACAAAGACCACCATTGAACTCCTCGTGATGAGCTGCATCGAAGCGATACCCATTTTATGCAAAAATATCAACTTTGAAATTTGACCTAATTTGACCTGACCTTGACCTGACCTTCACCAGAACATAATCTAACCTGACCCCAAAGGCTGCCTGACCCACATAATTGTATTTGGCATATAAAATGGACCATAAAACATGCATCACATGATATTTTCATATTGTGACCCTCAGTGACCTGACCTCTGTGACATGACCTGGTAGGGGAGAGTGGGGCTATTTGTTACAGGGGTAAGTTGTTACAAAGCAAATATCTTTGAAAATGCTCTTGATATCGCGCTACTAGAGGAGAGTGGGGCTATGCGTTACACTTTTTGGTTTTCTGCTCTTAGCGGCCAACCTATTCAGTTAACCCGCGCCCCGTAGGGCTACCGGCGGACCCTACCACCAGTAGGGGGGGGGGGGGGGCGTTTCGCCCCCCCCCTAAGATCTCGGAAAGTTACCGGCCGATTTTCAAAATTCAAACGGCGTTCGATAGCCCCACCCGGGAACTACCTTGTGACCAAATTTCATTGACCTAGGTCAAACCGATGACGTCACAGGTCAGGTCAAAGGTAAGATTTTCACCGTTCACAGGCATTTCAAGAAATGTGTTGTGAAATCGAGTAAATTGGTAATTTATTGAAAACCATCGATGGTACATTGTTCGTCAAACACATACTTTGCTATCTGAGGTCACTGATACCAGGTCAGGTCATAGCGAGGTCAGGTCACCGGGGGTCACATTATGAAAGTGTCGTGTGATACATGTTTTATGGTCCATTTTACATGACAAATGCGATTATGTGGGTTAGGTAGCCTTTGGGGCCAGCCTAGATCACGTTTTGGTGAAGGTCAGGTCAAGGTCAGGTCAAATTAGGTCAAATTTCAAAGTTGATATTTTTGCATAAAATGGGTATCGATTCGATGCAGCTTGTCACTGGGAGTCCAATGGTGGTCTTTGTTTTGCTCTACGAGGTCTAGAATTGCCAAAAATTGAGTTTGAAAATTTGACGTCATCATTTTTGAACAGTTTTTTCGCTATAACTTGGCCAAAAAACGAGGTATCGATCTGAAATTTGGTATGTAGATAGGAGACGGTAGGTACTATCACATATATTCCGGGCTTTTCGAAAATCAAAAAACTTTTTGGATTTTTCGGCTTATATATCCAAAAAAATGCATTTTTAATTTTTGGGGGTCAAAACTCAAAAATTTCAAAAATCCGAGATGGCAGTTTTGTAGCCCTGTCAATTCTACACCTTTTGTGTCTTGATCATTTTTCTGTATCTTCAAAGCTGTAGGCCTGACAGGTCTTCTCGCGAAGGTCTTTTTTCGGTCGAAAATGACAGAACATGACGTCATTTTGACGTCATTTGTGGCCAACCTATCATAGCCTCTGGAAAAATTTTTGGTCACAATGTGTAAAATCGATGCCCGGAGGGGTCCTGAAAGTTTGGTGGCGATATCTCCAGCCGTTTAGGAGATATCGACCGAAAAGAACAGGGGGGGGGGGCGTTTCGGCCCCCCCTACGGGGCGCGTGTTAACTAATTTCAATGATATTTGCTTTTTAACAACTTACCCCTGTAACAAATAGCCCCACTCTCCCCTATCAGTGACCTCAAATAGCAAACTAGATGCCGGCAGCGCTCGTGCGTTGCCTTGGGCCAGAATTGGAGGATTCATAGCCCAATGAAATGTGCATTATTTTGGAGGCCTTGCCTGGGACTACCATTGAACCGATTTTGAGGTTGATAGCTTAAAATTTCTTTGAGCCAGAGGACCTCACGTCAAAACGGTTTTCCGACCCCAGCACGTGCAGCCTGCACCCCTCGCAGACGGTGACCCCCCTGGAAACTGGTTCAAGGTGTTACCGATGTGTCCCGCCAGTATGGCTTTGCCCGTGACCTCGGGTTGACCTGTAGCCTTGACAAAAAAAAAATTCGTGTCACCGAAACTTTGAAGCGGAATAGCATGTGCCACGAAGCACCGAGCGAACCGAGGCCAGCACCAAAAGTTTACCTCGCCGGAGACGAATCAAACGGTCCCACTTTCGTCCCGATCGGTCCACCCATTTTGACTCCTGAGGCCTCTTGCACCAAACTACCTACCTAGGTAAATTCCGATTATACCTAAATTCTCTTGCACCAAACTACCTACCAAAAAACGCTACCGTGAAAATTTACCTAGAAATTCCAACGAACGGCATCGGAACTTACCAGTTGTTAAAGTCCGACCGGCTGTTTTCCTCTTGCACCGAAAGCCGGAAAGAGGTACTCGCGGAGGAATTTTTGACGATTTGACGGTAAACTCGGGCTTCCAAAATAACTAGCAAAACCTTAGGTAAAATGATTCAATTAGTAATAATAGGCACAATACATGATAATCCACGGGTACTTTGATGTAAATTAGGCATTATAAAATGTTTAAGACAATGATAAATCAATCCTTTATGAGTGAATAATAATATAATTGACCACATACTCCATAGGTACACTGAGGTGCTTCTCCGTATCAACGCGATAAACCTCCGTAACAAAACAGCCTCATTAAAGACTCACTCGTTGCCATGGAAACGAAGCCTATTTGTTCAAATAATTTGATAGCTAGGCAGCTTTCATCGGTATTTACATAAATGAAAAATGATTTCATAATACCAAAATATATATTTATAGAAACAATATCCATTTATTAGTTTTCTTTGCTTACTATTTGTTTGCGCCCACGAATAATTCGTCGCCGAACAGCCAATCAAAACAAATCCTAAAAACGCGAGCTGTCAAGTTTACCTAGGTAGCTAGGTAGGATGGTGCAAGAGAAGTTACCGTCGTAGGTAGTTTTACTAGGTAGGTATTTTGCCGATTCTACCTAGCTAGGTAGTTTGGTGCAAGAGGCCTCAGGTCCAAAAAAGCTTGGACAAACTCACTCACATACTCACTCACTGACAAACAGGTTCAGCCGAACTTTTTTTCAGCGACCCACCAATGGGAATTTCCGGATGCAAAAGCATGCTATCGCATGCTTTTGATCATCCAATTCTGGAATATGTGTTTGACCAGCATTTCCCCATCGATGATTTTCAATGAAATGCATTTTACTCGATTTCACAACGCATTTCTTGAAATGCCTGTAAACGGTGAAAATTCGACCTTTGACTTGACCTTTGACGTCATTGGTTTGACCTTGGCATTATAGAGTTCAGTGGACCTAGGTCAATGAAATTCAGTAACAAGGTAGGGCTATCCAACACCGTTTGCCGCTTGTCGCTATGTTGCGTGGTTCTCGAGATCTTAGGGGGAGGGGGCAAATTGCCCCCCCCCCCCCACTCAGCAGGAAGACGCCAACGTTGCTCGGCAGACCCCAACGGGGCGCGGGTTAACCCTCGCCGGCCGAGGGGGGGGGGCGGATGCCGCCCCCCATAGGTTTTTTTCGCGATGCTCGGAACACGCTGGAGATAGAGAGATGAAACTTTGCATACCTGACCTTTGATTCAAGCCGGATCTTTTGACACCAACCGCATTTTCGGGTCAGGTCAGGTCACTGACCTATGACGTCATAAGTGAACCTCTGCACGTTCTTCAGATGTCGCAACTTCGCAACGCCCTCACTGCCAGAGTAGCTTTCACAGGGAAATGAAACTTGCAGGATCTAATATCCCTGACGAGTCTCACAACTTGTATATCTCGGATTTTTCCTAAAAGTCATATGAGGTCAGGTCAGCTTCGTGACCTCACCTTTATAAGTCAATGGGGAAAAATGAAAACTGCTATTCTGGCGCCGGGAACGATCTCCAACTATCTCAAGCACACAGAATCGTGATTTGATGCACTCCTTGCAAGGTTGGATGCGTCACTTTTGCAATGTTGACCTTGCGTGACGTCATTTATGACGTCGTAAGGGCCATATTAGTTTTTCGTCAATAACTTCCGATCAAATTGAGCTAGCGAATCGGGAAAGCCACCAATGGACTCAGGAAGACCTCCCAAATCGAATTATATGCGACATGACCTACTTTGACCGATTTCGTGACCTGTGGGTGCTGACCTGACCGTGACCTGAGGTCAACACCCGAAGTTGACCTCACCCAAACAAAAAATATATCATTCGACGCGCCTGAGCAAGGCGAACATGATGCTGCCAAAATCGCGGCTCTGCGACCAATTTTTGCGAAGCTATTCACCAAAAACGGAACTGTACCTTGGGACACTTGACCTGACCTCAGAGGTCACCGGTTGACGTAGGACCTTAAAATCGGGTCCCAATCTCTACCCCCCCCCCTCTACCGAGGGGGTCGTACCCGCCCCCTTCCCTCGGCCGGCGCGTATGTAAAAAACCAATAGGTCCGGCGAGGGCTAAGGCTCCCCGATGCTTGAGAAAAAGGTGGTTTCAACGAGCAGTGGGACAAAGTGACCGATAACCTCAGGTAGGTATAACAAATCTGTCAGTCTGTGACTCATAAACTGGATGATTGAGGAGTCATGAATTTTGGAGTCCAACGCCTTTAGTGCGTCACAAAGATCAAGTGCCTTTTGTTTGGTCCTTCTGCGATTGAGTTAATAAGAAGTACCTACTGAAATTTTACGGAATAACCATTCACATGTACCGCAAAATACGGTGGACTCGAAATTGCCAAATGAATAAACGCGTTTTTACCAGACAGAACATAATATCATGTGTAAATAATCTAGGTACAAGAGAACATGCATATAATCCATCCAATGCAATATGCATTCATTCCACTTAGCGTCAGAAAGTTGTACTCGCATTGGTGTCAATTAGGATATACTATAGGTACAATATACATATCCTTCATGCTTGATTAAAATGCAAATTCGCCTTCTTTACAAAGTCTTTACCATTGCCTTTCCTGAATTTTCTCTTTCACGGGATATACCTCATTCATAGCCGCAATCGTTCGTAGAACCAAAAATGCGACGTATTTTGCCGTGATTCGGCATTAGTGCTATGTAATAGCATGGATGAGATAACAGATAGCATGGATGAGAAAACATGGATGAGATTATTATCTCATCCATGGTAATAGTGTGCAGGCCCGCAGGAGACGGCATTCACCGGTAAGAGACATATCACATTAATGTTTGCTGGCGGTCCGGTCACGTTGACTGCAATGAATCCCAAAGAATGTGTACAACGGAGACCCGATTCATTTTGACCGCGCTTCCTTGTAGAGCTAACAGCAACCCAGTCTAATCAATGTCGTACCTGGTAGTCCGCGTCCCCCCTCCACAATAGTTCATATAAACAAATTTCTGGTACCCTGCTAAACATATAGAACGATTGCATGAGTGGTCTATTTTCAAGCACATCGACCTGTACAAAGCAAAAATGCATGGACACAATGTTTAGCACTGTTCGAGCTTCTTCGCGCAACATTGTGTGCGCACTGGTGCATGTTATGTAAGTCACCAGATGTCTACTGATAAATGTTCATTGCTTTTCCATTTCCCTACTAGTCACTAGTCGCTTGACCCTATTGCGGGCTGCAGGTTTCCTCTTTATGGACATTCTATGAGGGCAGGTCCAGCAGGACAATACCTAGCCGTTTTCACAACAGGCTATCCCGTATCCGGCAAATGCACCTGATTTGACCAAATCTCCACCAAATTTCTTTTATAGAAAATATCTTCATTTTATGAATTTATTTCAGTGTTTTAAAGCTCTCTGATAATATGACAAAGCAGGCGTATAAGCAATTAGTGCGACCCTAGCTGATAGCTGCTAAGAGACACACTGAACCTGATTTGACCAAATCTGCACCTAATCTGCAGGGCTGCGGAGTCGGAGTCGGAGTCGGAGTCGGAGTCGGTCGGAGTCGACAGTTGTGACCGGAGTCGGAGTCGGAGTCGGAGTCGATTTTAGAAACCCGAGCCGGAGTCGGAGTCGGAGTCACCGAAAATCTGTCGACTCCGCAGCCCTGCTAGGTCTGCGGAGTCGGAGTCGGGAGTTGGAGTCGGTCGGAGTCGACAATTCTGCCCGGAGTCGGAGTCGGAGTCGGAGCTGGTTTTTGAAAGCCGGAGTCGGAGTCGGAGTCGGAGTCGCCGAAAATCCATCGACTCCGCAGCCCTGCTAATCTGTACCAGATGTGCACCAAATGTGTACCAGATGGCTGTCGTGAAAACGGCTAATACCCCTGCCAATTGACTTTTCGCGCGGCTGGGTGGTTTAACCTATCAGACTATACCTAGTATATACCAACTTATTCGACGGAACGGGCTCAGCCGTCGGTGGCACACTAGCCAGAATGTGGTCGAATCAGGCCAATATTGTACTTTTCCCTTCCTTTGGCATCCCCATGGTCCTGAACTGGTCCTTTGATCCAGACCGAAAGATGTGTGGTGCTGAAAGGTGTTACGCGCTGAACAGAGCAAACAATACTGGATTATCGTTGCGCCTGAACTTGATCTTAGCCGTCGACTTGTTAGTTGTTGCGCGTTCAAAGCCGATATTATTGGTACCGTCGACATAACCAGTATAGCGCCTTTTGGGGCGACTAACGGAGCGAGCGAGGGGGTGAGTCTTGCACGTGCGAAATTTCGAGGGGGTACCTCCAAGTGACTTGTGCACGGCACCCTACTGACCGGTTTCTAGCGATGTGCCAAATTTGAGCACAATCGGCCCAGCCGTTCTCGAGATTTGGGAGCGGCACCCTGCACGTGCGCACGTGCAAAATGGGTCCCAACTGACTTGTGCACGGCACCCTACTAACTGGTCCCTAACCGTGTACCAAATCTGAGCGCCATCGGTCCAGCCGTTCTCGAGATCTGGAAACGACCCCTGCACGTGCGCACGTGCAGCAGCACCCCAACTCTGGCACATGGATATGCAGTGCCTAGTGGGTGCCTACCTACATGCCAACTTTCAGCGCAATCGGTCAAGTAGTTACCGAGATATTGCAACAATTACCAAACTGACACCTCTTCGTTTTGCACGTGGCACGTGCATAAGGGGTCATCCACATGCATCGGGAATAGTCCAATACTTGGTAGAAGGAATGAAGCTACCCTACAAAAATTACCGCGTGTAAATCGGTCAAGTGGTTGCTGAGATATAAGCCTCGCAAAAGCGTCCGCACGGCCGGCCGGCCGGCCGCTCATACTCAGAAATTTCCGTTAATCTAAGGAAAGACTACGCTCGCTTCGCTCGCTCCGTAATAAACACACGCCTTTTTGTTCCAAGCGTTTTGCCTTCTTGACCCAAGCTGTACCGTTTGGCGCTCAAATCAAATTAGAATCCTTTGCTATCTGGTGCTGCCTAAATGAAGCCATTAGATTAATCTTTTTATGCACTCGCTCATACCATCATCAGAGGCTGCCTAACGCAGCCCCAACTCAAAGTTAACCCGCGCCCCGTTGAGGTCTGGCAGGTTCCACGTCCTGTTGGGGTGGGGGGTGGGGGTGGGGGGGGGGGGCAAAGGGCACCCGTCGTATCTCTGGAACCAATAGCCAGATCGGCTAAATTCAAACGGTATTCGAAAAAGTCACCGAGATGCACAAGATAGGATATAGATGACATTAATATTTGACCTGTGACGTCACAGGGAGGTCAAACAAAGTCAAATCAGTCCAATTTGCAATGACGAGAAGTCGGTCATAAAATGAAATCGAAGTTTTCAAAATGAGTCTGGATATGATTTATATGATAGATCTGACATGTAGATAGTGGATGATGACCTGTGACATCACAACAGGGGTCAGCCTCGACCAATCAGAAAACACTTTCGTGAATCGTAAGGAAAAACATGTTAAATTGTGAATATTCGAGTCTTTATGAATATATGTCATATATATGCAACCACAGAAAACTCCTTGACTATCTTTATCGACCTATGACGTCTCAGGAAGGTCAAAAAAGGTCAAATGGTATC